ATGTAACAAAAACAAAATTAGATTTTGATTAAAATCCAATTACTGACAAACCAAATGGTAGATAGAGTCTTGTGTGACTAATTTAAGAATCTAATTATCTCTTTAATTACCTAATTTTGTTTGTATACGTGGGGGTGATGTAAGGAGAGAGTAGAACAAGAACAACATGATCGTTTTTATTTCTTAAACATGTGTTTGGACCCTAGTTTTTTGGGATCTTCTAAAGGATTACTAGCATCCCTCCACGTGGCAAGTATTCATGTGTTCAAGACTTTCCTGTCTCATGTTTGACCTAGTTAGAAGACAAAGAATACATAGGAGACGATGACTAAGAGATCTCAAACCCATCCAGCATAAAAATTAGAAACATTGTGTTAGGTAATGTAAGTACTTGTGTGTTGTGTTCCGAAATTTTTTCCCCTTGGATGACTTCATTGTCTTCTCATAATGACCTTCTTTTGGTTGTTAATGTTAATTTTACGAAAATTTGAATCATTTGAATCCGAGCTAAAATTTAAAAAAATGATTTACGACACAAGATAACAGTAATATAAGAATCGTGCAGTTAATAACAGTACTATAAGAATCTTGCAGTTAAAATTCTCTAATTGATTAGTTTAAATGGATCCGACTCCTCTTCTGTTAATTTTCTAACAACAGATGATCCTCACCCGGTCTAAATAGGCTTTTAGACATCAAATGTGATCCCAGACCTTGTCAATTTGTAAACACCCACTTACCGTAGGCATTACAAAATATGAATTCAAGGGCAGATTAGTCATTTTGCAAAACAATTTCTTGTCATGTGAGGTAGAATAAGTCATCTTCAAAGGGTTGTTTGTCTACGTGGAAAAAAGAACGTCTACCATAAGACAACAAACACAAAAGGACAATCCAATCAAATGGTTCACTAATTGAACCAGGGACGAAGGATAAATTTACACGTTCTGAGTTCGCGTTCCTTTAACTGTACAAAATTCATGTTTAATTAATACACGTAATTTGTAAGTATTTTGTCTATTCGAAATTTGTATTACATCCCTAAATCTAAAGAACGTGTGATTGGATCGATTCTCCATTACTAACAAAAGAGTAAAAAGTGAGCAAAATAAACACAAAAGGACACTAGAAAATGAGTTTGCCACAGAAACCCCAATATATCTCTTAGTAAACTCAGTCCCCCTTCAAATATATATAGAGCAACATTACCACCAAAAACAAAGATATGTTGACAAGCCCTCCACTCCTGTTAAGAGCTAAGACACTTCCTACATTCTCTCTCTCTCTCTCTCCTGCAAATCAAACTCTCCCTCTCTTCTTTTTTTTTTTTATCTCTCCCTCCACCTTTCAATGGAAATCCAATTCCAACAGCATCAAAAGGGAGGAAATCCAATGAGCAAATTCAAGGGGAGAAATAAAAGTAGCAGCAATAACAACAAATTTATAGGGGTGAGACAAAGGCCTTCTGGGAGATGGGTAGCTGAGATCAAAGACACAACAAAGAAGATTAGGATGTGGCTTGGAACCTTTGAAACTGCTGAAGAAGCTGCTCATGCCTACGACGAGGCTGCTTGCCTTCTTCGCGGATCCAATACTCGCACAAACTTCATTACCAATGTCTCTGCTGACTCTCCTCTCGCTTCTCGAATTCGAAATCTGCTAAACAGCAAAAAAAGTGCAAAACGGCAGAGTCTGAATGTATCTAACTCTACAAGCAGTAACACCATTAAGAGTAGTACTGGCATTACAAGTAATCCTACTACTAGTACTGATGATACAAATGGTTGTGGTGGTGACTTCATTAGCAGTGGTGACTCTCTTTCTAGAAGCAAGATACAAGATTCCCAGTTGTTTGATGATGCATATAGACCTGATTTCAGCAATTTCGCCGAAGAATTGAACTTAGACTCTTCTCAATCTGATATGGCATGGGGTTTTGGACCCGGGCTTAATCGGTTTCCTTTGACTGAAGAGATGCTGGAATTACCAAAGAATCTTGTTCTACCAGAGACAACTGGCCCAGATTTTTCAGAATTTGAGCTCATAAAAGTTGAAAGACAGATATCAGCATCGCTTTACGCGATGAACGGGGTGCAGGAGTGTATGGAAACTGTCCATGATCCTACTGAAGCTTTTTGGGATCTTCCTCCTTTAGGTTCATTGTTGTGCTAAACTTGAAGGTTTCTATCATGACCATGAAATCTCCTCCTATTCAGTCTTTTTCTTCTCTCTTTTTTCGGGTTTTTTTTCTCTTATGATGTTCTTCCGAGACCATTTAGTGCAGGACTCTTTACAAGTTTACAATTACAAAGAATGAGAGAGAAACAATGTCTCTGGTATCTTCTTCTAGATGTTTGTTGACATATAATAAGCAAGTAAAATATATGAAGTCTTCCTTAATATATATGAAAAGGTTTCAATCATCTCTTCCCTACAAAGTCCAAGGAATCATTCTCAATTGAAAATAGCAATGAACCATTGTTTGAACTCACCCCATCCTTTTCTCTCTTAATGTATATAAACATGATATCTTGTACAAGAGCTACTATTTTTTCCAACAATAGATGTCATCAATATCTTGTACATTATTATGTAAGACAATCTACATAAATATGGCCAGGACCAATAGAGAAGTATCAATTTGCATTTACTCAAAATAATTGCAGTTATGCCTAGATAACATCTTTCTTGTTTTGGAGTTGCTCTATACTTTAAAATTTGTATGGAGATCCTTGATTACTTTAAAAGTTACAGTCAAATCTATCGTACTCTATACACAATTCAACACTTTTAACAGGATCTATAAGAGGTAAGCAACCTTACCCCCTATTTTGAAGAGGCCAATTTCCAGACTTAAATGCGTAATGTACCACTTGAGCAGATGACTATTTGCTTACTTGGAAGCGGTTTACTTGAAGGTTCAAGCAAGTCTTAACAAACCAAGGGAAATCATTTCCTTCTTCATGGTTTAAAAAGAAAATTGGCATTTGACTTCATTATAGCTAGAGAAGAGTTGAAAAAGCAATTTCACGAAAGACCAACAAGGATAGGCCGGAGTTGAGAGAGCAATTTCACAAAAGATTGACAAGGATAGCACCAAGCTGGCACTCAATTTCTTCTCCTCTATGAAGGGATTTTAAGAAATGGAGTGTATGAGTGCAATTTAGGCGGGTTAGAGAATCAAACCAGGCCCAATTTAAGTTTTAAATTTTCAACCATAATCCAACCCGAGCTTGACTCCAATTGAGGTAACCCGTCTGAGTTGCACCCCTACACTCAATTTCTTAAAATCCCTTCATAGAGGAGAAGAATCAAAAGTATGCATCCTTAGGAAGAATTGGAAGAACGGAATCCTACCCCCATGTAAGGAGAGGTTTTTGCGTTATTCGAACTCATGACAATAGAATCCAAATAAACTTTGTCCGCATGATTATACTAAATTCCATCTCGTCTATTACAATTTGCATGCAATGTCGAGGTATAGTGTTTTATAGAACACCAGCTAAGTAAGTCTCTGTGGTAGCAAGGTGGCTTTCAGTTTTCATAGTAAGAGATCCAGGCCCACGCCAACTTGTCCGGTTCTTGATGAGAAACCCAAAAGGCAAATGAAGATATAACTAGTTTTTTCGATTTGCATAATAGATGGTTTCGACAGCAACCCCTTGGCCATAGCAAAGGCCATCTCTTACAACCATGAACAGAGCTGCCCAACGATCTCAAAACATGGACAACACATAACTTCCAGGCCAATCGATAATGAGAGGTTAGACTTCAAGCAATGACGTGTTAATCCTCCCAAATGATGTGTCGCAGGATTACACATTCCAATCTGGGAATCAACCTCTCTGAAACGAGGGTAAGACTACCTACCACCACTTGACTCTCTCAAGCCTCGCAATGGGAGAAAACCCTGAAAACTGAGAACAACCTTTAACTCAAACGAGTAATACACTATATAAAACAGAAAGTTCAGCAATGAAATTTAGTATAGGACATGCTACACGTCAAACTTCAGTACACACCCCAAGGGTTGTCAGCTTAAAATGCAAGATCAACTCACAATGGTCATGACCTTCATATGAGGCAAGGACCGCTAAGTATTCTAGTTAGAAAACAGTTTTGCAAGTTGGGTTGCAGAGTAGGATGCTTATAGAACTTCCCTATCCTCTCAACCAAGTGTTACGATATGACGATTTGTCGCGCAAAGAAGCATCATGAGGCTTGTATTCTATTACGTAGCTATGAGGAAGCTTCAAGTGTCGTTTGATTGCATCTCTTAGAGCCATTACAGCCTAGGAAAAAAAGAGAGCAAAGAAAGCAAGGTCAGAATGTCAAACTTTTAGCATGAAAACGGAAGTAAACAAAGAGGAATGCACAAAATGGTGGTTGATAATAGCTGACCTGATGATCAGATGCATTGCGGTTCCAGACACTCAATATATCCTCATTGAAACGAATACTCAACACTGCACCACATATATTGTCACCATAATCAAGTTGGTCACCCACTAATGCCAGGACCTGCAAATGCATCCACCAGAAAACAAATCATTACCAATCTCGTAATATTTGGGAGAGAATAAAGCATAAGTTTACTCCCTATATGAGACAAGTACTGGTTCATACTAAAAAATTCTTTCATTTTAACATACTTATTTCGCAACTATGTGGTGATTATCTGATTCATAAAAATCTCACAGCTTTGCATGCAAACTGTCTCCTTCATTTTCATAACATTTTCAATTCACATTTTTAGCAGAGTTTTGAGTCCTATAATGAGTGAGGTGGGCAGGGGGTCACATTTCATTGCTAACAATGAAAAATCCATTGTTTTAGCGTACATACTCTTTTTTTTGTTACGGAAGGAGCGTACATATTCTTGGAGACTAAGGGAATAGAGTTTCTTGACAAGTCCGCCAGCCAATATACATTCTCACTCGGGGTAAAAGAAAACATATGTTGCCCAGATGCAATTTTGCACACGTTGGATGAGTTCAGATCTCTCCTCCACACAGAGAAAAGAAAATGTGAGAATGGAGCAACATCATCTCTGGACCTAAACTTGTCTTTTCAATAATTGAAAATTAAAAGAACTATTCATCTAAAATGAAAAGGATTCATGCTACGAGTTTTACAAGGGAGCATCATTAGTGCATCTAAACTTGGGGTTGGCACTGATAATGAAAAAAATTAAATCAGATAGATGTGGATAAGAATTACTTTTTGGCAGAAGTCAAAACAGCACCAAGAGATAATTTTGGCCAGATAACTCAAGAGTTGGTGCACGGCAAGCAAAATTATGACCAACTTCAGCAAAACGAGGAGTGGACACGAGGAATACTAAAATTGATAACCAAGAGATACATGGCAGATCATTTCCACTATTGGGGATTGATTATCCTCTGGGAAGATGGAAAGGAAGAAAATGTTGCCCACAGAACTAAAGCGACATGATTGAAGCATGAGCGCCGTCTAACGTCAAGGAATCATAAAATAACGACCAAATAAGAGGGAGGATCATTCAATAACACAACTTTAATTTTCTAATAAAATTCATAAGACATCTATCATGCCATTAATAAAAAAAACAATAAGAGCAACGCAGTCAAAAAAAATTGGTGCACAGAGTACAGTGTGTATGAAGATGTTGTAATGAGAATAAGCGCATCAGTGAACTAGAATATCAATAGACAATACTATGGGGAAAAAATGCCAGAATAGGAACAATCACATGCAACAAGGAGGAATATTTTATTTAACGCAAAAGCAATTCAAGAGATTAGGGTTGAAAAATGAAAACATCAAATTTTAGGACTACAATCGAAATATAGAAGCCCAGTAAGGAGTTGGTGTAGAATACCGAGGGAAAGGAAAAGCAATGAAAAAAAAAGCACACCTCAACTAAGACAAAAAAGACAAGCAGCCTTTCCCTTACCAGATCCTCCCAAAAGCGACCTGACACAGCCTTTTTGAACCGTATTATCCACTTCCCACCATTGCAGTTAGCAGAATCCTGAACAAAAAACAATCCGTTGAGGCAGGGCATACTTAGTCTGTACTAAAAAGGAATTCTAGTGGAAAAGGAAAAAAATAAAGGAGAAAAAATCATTAATTAGCACAAGCAAGCAAACTTTTAAGCATCAACATTTACCTCCCATAGTGGACGAATTCCTTCCTTGAAAAGATGCAAATCTGTTGGGCTTGGCAATGATGATGGACGAGCCAAGTGGCAGTAGCAAATCCAAAAACCTTCAACCTATAAACAAGCAATGTTCAGATATAAGAACAAGAAAATAAATGGGATATAGAACAGAAATTGAGGTAAAGGCTTAAGGTTGACCACATTGTAGCCGCACAAATACAAAACATATATATGCACGAAAGAGTCTCACCGTACTGAAATCTACAATTTTCTTTATGTTGTCCTCGTAAGATGTCTGAGTACGGAGTCCAGGTGTTCGACGAGTGTACCAAAATACAAACTTATGCTGAGCATCACATTGAAACAAAATGAGTGACATGGTAAGCATAATGATTGCCAAATAGATTAAATCCTAGAAAAAAACGCACATCAAACATGGCAACATCATGCAAGCATTTGGAACATAGTCATACGCTCCAAACATTACTTAACTATCAATCAAAATCCCCTTCTTTTATGTATCAAATACAATTTATGACGGGGTAAAACCAGTACTACATATATCAAAGCTAAGTAGTTGAATAATTTCAAAATAACCATAAAGGAAGAGAAGGACTAGTGGTACAACTTGACTGGGTTGAGAGGTCAATCCAGCTATAAAACCTTCATTCCAAACTTAACCCAAAACCTTCAACCCCAACATTACCAGGTTTTAGACTTTAGATTTTTGAAATGAGTTCAACCCGGATTGACCGAATTAGCACATTAAGTAAGAACATAGCAAACATCCACAAATAGGGAACAACAGAAATCAACCGCATAGAAGAGCAATACAAAAAGCCAATGGGCACAACGAAATTTACTGCAAAATGATCAACAAATGAGCATAAGATTTTTTGAGATACCAATATGTCTACCTCCTGACTCTAGAAAGATGCTCGACTTAGAATAGCAGATAGTTTACGGATGTACTCTCTAAAAATCGAAAGACTTCATGAAACATAATTTAAGAATGCATGGGAAAAAATCCGGCAATCATTTAATCAATAAAGAATGTTAAGTTGCACCCCAGTCCCGATCGTGAGCTACAAAGCCGACAAAATGTTTAAGGTCTTCTCCGACATTGAGCCGAGGGAAGGCTCTCTGATACATATATCAGTATTACGATCAATACATGAATAAACAAGAGCATGAAATTAGGAAAAAAAATCATAGAGGCTGTGTTTCACAGTGTGGCAAATAGTTACGTGCTCTTACCTAGCCCTCCCTTACCTTTGGAACCTTACCCCATTTGACACAAGACCTTGACATCACTTGCAAAAAAGGTTCTTGCTTGTGATTGGTGGCAACTATGGCATGCCTTAGAATGAAAACTTGAGCTTATGATTGGCGGAGATATGGTGGTCAGCTAAAGGTTGACATTCTTCACCTTGGAATTCTACTTTCCTTGAGATATGTGTCATCACATGGTTTACACCTTTTACATAGTGTCTAATATCATATAGTAAGACCCACTATAAAATACGTTCTTCCAACTGCCTCTAGCTTTCATTTTCTTCATAGTACTCAGAAGTAATTAAAAATAATTAGCTTATTCATATCTTTTGTGGTAATCTTAGAAGCACGGACACTTCGCCAGATGTCGACGAGGCGGTGTCGGACACGTGTCTGACACGGATACGCGTGGGAAATGACCAAACACGCATCTAACTCTTCTACAGGTGTCATGAACATGAACAAGGATTTTTTTGAAGCCAAATACAAGGGTATACAAGAAATAAGGGGCTAAAACTGAAAGAAAGAAAGAAAAAAAAAAAAAAAGGTCGCTAACAGAACAGAGAGGAGAGAAGAAGAGACATACCAGATTTGCTTCAACGATCAGCTTCCAATTTGCTACAAGCCTTCGTTCTTCTTTCCTTTTTCTTCCTGAGATCGTGAATCGATGCCCTAGCTGCACTCTTCCTAAGTCGGTGCCCTAGCCGACTATCTTTTTCTTTTTCTTTTCTTTCTATCTCTCTCTCAACTGAACAGATGTTGTTATTTTATTAATATGTTTCTCTTCTTTTTTTTTTTTGTATAATTTATTTATTAGTTGTCAAATAAATTAACCCACATTCCACTTTTGTGTTTGCCCACAGCCCAATTTGACGTTAGCTCACTACCCAATTCTAACGTATTACTACCCAATATAATATTAGTCTATTACCCAATTGTAAGATATTAACCAATTATTTAATGATTTCTAAGTCTTATTATTAATGTTATTTATATAAAAAATATATAATATTATTCTAATTAGTTATATCCTTGTCGTACATGTGTCCTATATTTTAAAATTTTATCGTATCCCCACATTTGTATCGTATCAGATACGACACCCATATTCGTATCTATGCTTCCTAGGTAATAATATATTACTTTAGAAGAGATGTGTCGAGGCCTAGCATATGATCTCAAGCGATCCAAATGTATTTCACTTGTTGAAATAAGTTCGACAAACATAATTGTTGATGCTAGGCCAATCTTTTTTTACTTGAGCTTTAAGGTCTAGCCTCAGAGCATGACTATTGATACTAGATAACTATATCGTTCATATTTGGCAACAGCACAAGCCAAAAGCTTGAAAAGTTTTTGTATGTTTGAGCTTATTCAAAAAACCCAAGTATTTTTCAGACTTTGCTAGTTGTCTTTGAATCAAGCAGTAGCCGTTTCATGGAAAAAATTTCTTTTCTTCCCTAAAGACCATCCTCGTGTTACCTCCCTAAACGGGGAATACTCCCGAGTCTTTTTGTACTTGAGCTTTAAGGTCTGGCCTCAGAGCATGACTGTTGATACTAGATAACTATATCGTTCATAGTTGGCAGCAACACAAGCCAAAAGCTCGAAAAGTTTTTGTATGTTTTTACTTATTCAAAAAAGTCAAGTCCTTTGCAGACTTTGCTAGTTGTCTTTGAATCAAGCAATAGCCGCTTCATGGAAAAAATTCATTTTCTTCCCTAAAGACCATCCTCGTGTTACCTCCCTAAACGGGGAATACTCCCGAGTTGAGGTTACGTAAACCCATCATGAAGAGGTTCAATGCCCATGATATGATTTTTGGTGCTTTGGCTGAGCAAAGACTTACCCAATTCCGAGACCTAACCCTACTCCTTTGTAACTTCCCTAAACAAAAACTACTCCCAAGAACCTGAACATGTTCTCAAGAGGTTTTATGCCAATAATACACTTTGGGTCAAGATTTACCCATTTCTAGAGTCAAGCCTCGCACTATGTTAAGGGATTGTCTGATTCTTCAGGAATTCACTATCAAGGCAAACATGCATTTTTTACTTGGACTAGTGGAGTCGACATAGGATGGAATCATACAGCTCCTCGTTCAATTCTAAGTCATTAGATCATTTTTCGCGTTCAAGAATCCCGTCCGTTCTTCCACTCCATTTGAAATAGTAACTAGGACCAATTTAGTCACATTTTCATATTCAACACCTTCCATTTTTATTTTTATGAGAATCTAGCAATCAATGCGGAACTACAACGTATTCCCTCCGATTCTTAAGTCGGTCAAAGCACCGATTTTAAAAAAGGGGAATACCAGAGGTTGTGTGGAAGTGAGTGCCTGTGAGAGGTGTTTGATGCATTCTGACCACGCAAGAGGAAAACAGTTATTGAGAAAAAGGGATGACCTAGCATCAAGAATCATGCTTGAAGGTTAAACTTTAAAACTAAAATACAAAAGGACATGTCTAGCTTCGACAAACATGTTTGTAGGACTTCATTCCACAAGTGGCAAATACATTTGGGTTTAGATATGTTAGATCTCGGCATATCTCCCCCAGAGTTATATATTATTAGAGAAGACATTAATCATCATAGTACATTTCAAATCCTTTTGTAGACTACAAAGAAATTGAAAGTTAGAAGCACTTGGAAGGACACAAGTTATGGTGTGTCCCACTATACGAAAATGGTCACTATGTAAAAGATGTAAGCCATGTAATAGCACACACCTCAAAGGAAATATAATTCCACGGTAAAGAATATCAACCTTTAGTTGGTCACCATAACTCCAATTATCAGAATGAAGAACCTTGTTTGTAAGTGATATCAAGTTCTTCTCTAGCTAGGATACCCCAAGATAAGAGAAAACCAAGGGAGCTTGTAGCTCTCTACCATACACAACCACATACACACCCTAATAATATTTTCTAATTTCATGCACTTACTTATACATATATTGATCGCAATATTGACTTACGCATCAGAGGGCCTTCTCTCAACTCAACGCTGAGGAACCTAACATTATGAAGAGTTTGCAGCTCCAAAAGGACCAAAACTAAGGGCACAACTCAATATTCTTTACTGATTCGATGATTGCCAATTTTTTCCCATGTAAGAGTATCACATAAAATCCATTAACCAAGAACAATCAAAGAGAAGGTAAGGCAATCGTGTTCAACAATCAAGGAGAATGTTGTCGCCAAAAAACATGGTAGAGGCTCTATAGAATGCAACTATATTGAACAATTAGAGTGAAGGGTGTTGTTGACATGAGAGTGAGAGAGAGGTAGGTGAAGATGACAAATGAGAACTAGTTAACGATTAAGCCTAAATCCCGTCCAATGTACCATCTGCTAACAAGGCAGCTAGTCCAATCAACATCAAAGAATGCAAAGAAGGTGGTGAATGGTCCCAGAATGCAAGGAAAAATGGGATATTAATGGTGTCAACTATCCACTATATAGGTCTTTTCAATCTATGGCAAACTTTTCAATTGCTCTAAGCGCTTTAAACAGTCAAGGATCTAAAATCTTAGGGAAAATCTGACACGTTATCCCTATCGCTAAGTTAGCCTTTTAGTTTTAAGCAAATCAGTCTTACCCAATCGTAAATTTAGATGATAACATGCTTGGGTTGAGGCTGAATTTATCGAAATTGGTTGGGAAAAGGAAACATTCCCAAAACCCAATACCTCAGTTTGAGCAATGTTATCATGAATCAACTTGGTAAGTGATATGGATATGGATACACAATGTGATACTTTTCCTGATATGCGATGCGATGTGAGTATAATTAATTGGTACAATATTTTGTCATGATTAATTGTGTAACTCCTTTGGATCATTTTTGTAGTTATATAAAATAACATACACAATTGACTAATATTTATTTTACATTTCTAATACGGCTTGCAAAGCAAATCATAATTCAAGACAACATATCAACTAATGGTTATAACTTGCAACTAATAATAATTGCACATTCTCTATTAGGATAAGAAGTTAAAATCAAAACTATCAAATATATATTGAAAATCTCCAAATAAAAATAACCATGGGTTGGTTCAAGATTAGAGTCACAATTTGGGGTAGTAAGAGCAGCCATGGAAGCTAGTAAGTCTATCATACAGCGCACTACTACAAAGGATATGATTTCAGCTAAGGCTATACTACAGTTCAAAAAAAAAAAAAAAGCTAAGGCTATACTCCAAAATTGTCAAACTAATTCGAGTATGGGCCATCTGTCCGTCTAGATTCAACTACAGATCATAATTTATAAAAGAGCAGAACCTTATAAAACGAGATAAATAGATCGATTCAGAAAATGAATTTCAAAAAGCACATATGCATATGTACATTCTTGCATATTTACAGACATACAAACAAATACACACACACACAAAAATGTGAGTGTCACAGTCAATGTTACATCAACAAATTAGGTTGCAATCAAGCTCATTAATCCACACCAAAACAAACCTAATGCAGTAGAAATTAGACCAACAATAAAAGCGACCAACTAGAAAGCAAAAAAATACACACAAAAAAAAAACGACCAAGAAATATATAAGATCGAGTGAGACAGAGAGAGAGAGAGAAACCCTGAGAGGGTGTAGACCAGCTTTGAGGTCGCGGGCTTGGCGTTCGCGATCTTCGGCTTCTCTATCTGTAGTTGTGGAGGGATCGACGGCCAACTGGGTTTTGGAGAAGTTTTGATTGTTCTCAGCTTCGTTCTTCTCTGCTGCAACTTCCATTTAGTTTTTCTCACTTCCACAAATACAAACCCTAGTAGCTCCCTACAGATGTATCTCCTTCAATCCTGATTCTCTTTTTGTGGAGGAGGGAGGAGAAGAGAGAGAAAAATTGAACAAAGTATCCCGAGTCAATAAGGAAAATGCTACGTGCATCTTCAAAAAAAAAAACAAAAATTCAATCCAACGGTGATAACACGTCGTTTCTATCTAAATTTTATCATCCAATTGAAAAATCATAATTAAATAAAATGAACCCAACCAATACTGGTCAAAAAAAAACAATTACTCCACCAACATCTTTTAGGTGAAAAAAAGGGGATTGTTTGGTAAGACAAAGTTTAGTTATCTAAGTCTCTATTATGGATTTAAATTTTTATTGAAATGTAAATCTTGATTTAATTGGTATATGGGTTGAAAGATTGATTCATGCACCTGGGGTTGCCCTCGGTTCTCCCTAAACACATGAGCCTGAGCGATATGAGCGCGTCTCTATCCATCGAGAATAGCTCAAAATTTTCCTCCGTTATATTTTTAAAATGAACCTCACTACTCTTATGTGTTGATATTTGGATGCAGTAGTTATGAAAATTGTGGGTTCATTTTGCCCACATTTAATTTTTTAATTAGATGACGATACAAAATCATTACAATGTCACCGTTACGTTGAATATTTACTCACTACGGACCATGTTTATTGATTTGATCTATTATGGTCATTAAATTTGATAATAAATATCGAGTTCAAATTTTTTTTTTGATAATAGGTCTTCCTGAATATTGGGTTAATTCTCAATTTAATAAAAATAATTAATATTAAATTACAAATAAGATTAATAAATTATGTCAAAAAATATTATTTCATACATGTTCCATGTAAAGATGAATACATATATCAATCTAACGGTAACAACATTTTTACGTGGCCTCATCATTAAATAATAAAATTATAACCAAGCAAAGAAATTTTACTTTTTTATATGAGACAGCGCAGCTATTTATATAATAAAACAAGAGTATATTTGAATTTTATCTCACTTATATTTTC